ATATATTAAATATTTGATTTTTATTAATTATTAATTGTAATTAATTTATTAATATTATTAGCATCAGATCGTAATTGAAAATATCTTGAACAATCTATTATGAGTTTTTATACAAGATGTGTTTATGCAGCATCTACAAGAGCTAATGACTCAGAAATTTCAACTCCAACCGATAAGGAATTAGCATGGATGCATACTGAAGGTGTGATTTGCCATTTACGAGGAAACCATACAAAATGTTGGCCTGAAGTTTATTGGATTGTAAAGAATTCCGATTTGAGCTTATCAACTCTCAATTTAGTTGGTATAGATGATAATCAATGTAAACGTCTATTAGAATTTCTTAAAAAAATAACGAAACTTAAAGAAAATCAAAGTTTGATAACAACAATATGTATCAGTTATAATGAAGCATTTAATCATTTGAAACTAAATTATACAGAAAAAAAACCGATTATCTAAAATCATTTCGAGCTCGTTATGCACTTTCAGTTATTCATAATAATAATAGTTTTATAGAACTTCAGCGTAAAATTCATGTTGCAGGTAATTTGGTGAATTTTTCTGATCAGGATGAAAAGAATCTATTTAGTATTTGGAAACAGAGAGAACAAAAAAGGAAAATTAATTTAACGGCAATTGAAGTGCGTAATAAAAAATGGGCTAAAAAGATTATTAATCAAAAAAGGCAATTGGAAAGTTTTGATTTCTCTCAGGTACTATTTTAATTTATAATAGTTATATATAATAATTATTCTAGTTATGTAAATTTATGTTAATCAAATTATATAGGAATTGGTTCCATATGGTTTACAAATTCAAGAAGAACTTACCAATAATAAATTTGAGCTATCCTTTGCTTCATTAGTAACTGCATTCAAGTTATCGTCTCTCAAATGTGTGGCTTGCCAATCATTTCAAAAAAAGTATGTCAATGGTCTATGTGCATTATGTGGCTATCTAATGAAATATAATTTATCTAGCTATATACCGAATGCACAATATCATGAATAATCGACATCTGAATCAATTTCGGATTATAGTATGATAGATAATATAGTCACTGAATTTTTTGGATTTGAAGGATATCGTAAAAAGTAACGAGAAAGTATATTATCTTTTTTATTGGATCAAGATACACTAACTATATTGAAACTGGTGGAGGAAAGAGTTTAATATATGCAGTTGCAAGTATATTAACGAGAGGATTAACAGTAGTATTTACTCCTCAAAAGGCATTGATGGATGATCAAATGGTAAATTAATTAATAATAGATCTATTTTCTTATAATAAATTAAAATACATTGTTTTTTATTTTAAAAAGCGAGAAATGGTAGAAATGGAAATACCAGCGGCAATGTTATATGCTTTTTCAGAACAACCACCATTGGTGCAAAAAAAGATTTTTGCTGAAATCGCAAGTGGATTATGTCGTATATTATTTGTTACACCAGAAAAATATATAGAAAATTCAGTTTCGTATTATGTTACAAAATGTTTATAATACCCAAGGCCTTCAATTTGTTATAGATGAAGCACATTGTATAGTTTCTTATGAAGAATTTCGGTAAGTAAAAATCATATATAAAATGTATAAATTAAGAAAAATTTGTAACTCATTAATTTTAATAATAGAGATGCATGGAAAAAATTAGGAATTTTAAAACATAATTTTCCAATGGTTCCTATTTTGGATTTAACTGCAACTTGTTCTCCTGCTAATGTAAAAATTATACAATTGATTCTAGAAAAACCTAATATGAAAGTTATTAGAACCTCAATTATTCATCGTTTAAAAATTACATTAGAAGTTAGATCCAAATCAACCCAAATAAAAAAACTTTATCAGGCTGTATTCGATTTACTAGATAACCTTGAGAGACGTGCAATTATTTATGGAGCTACAGTTACAGAATGTAATGATATGATGAATGAACTTCAGAAAAACTTTAATCCAGATATTGTAGGAATGTATCATGGAAAACTTACAAGTAAAGAGCAATATGTTATATCTGCGAATTGGAAGAATCAAATCATTAAAATAATGTCGGCAACTTCAGCTTTTGGTATGGGTATAAATGTAGACAATGTTATCTTAATAATCCACACAACTCTGCCAATGTCTTATGATCGATATGTACAAGAAATTGGTTGAGCTGGAAGATTGGAACAACAATCTAGGATAATACTATTTTATTCACGAAGTGATATCCATACACTATTAACAATCTTGAGTAAGGGACAGGAAAGGTAAATATTATATTGTAATGTTACATTATTGCAAAATATGTAATACTTATTAATTTATTCTATAAGTCTTTCCAATTTTACAAATTTACAACATTTATCTGACCTAAATATTATAATGGATAAAAAAAAAGAAAAAGTTATGAAAATGGTATTATTTGCAGATGCAGTATATGAATGTCGTCAACAACTTGCGTATCATTTATTTTTCTGGTCAGATGATCCTATAATTTCAGAATGCCATAATTGTGATAATTGTAAAGAACGGGACAATCCAGACATTTGTGATGTATCAACAGAAGCATTACGGCTTGTTAGAATCATGAATGTACTATTACAACATGCAACAATTCAAAATAACAACATATATTATGTAACTCATGATGATGTAGTGGATGTGTTTTATGGAAACAAAAATAGCAATGTAATTAGAAAAAACCTTATGCAAGTATCAGAATACCCCTTAAATCACTTTCAAACAAGATTACATCCAAAAAAAATGTGTCTTTATTTGTTAGATTCTTTAATTGATAAAAAAATTATTAATCAAATTATTGACCTTCAAAGAGTCCGTCCTGAATCATCAGTATTAACTCATAGTTGTAAAATTGTAGGAATTTGTGAAAAT